TGCAGGTGTCATGATATAGTCAGTGGTGCATTAAACCCACAATGATAAATATCCATTCCATTGCGAGAAGTTGTTAACTTTTACGACATGGAACTGATAAATGAAACCCACAGTGGAACTAACGCTCCTTCGATCGGTCATGCCTTGCGTTTAGATGGTATACTCCAAAATATAGATAAAGTGTTCAATAGGAAAAACGCTAAACTAAAGTGTCAAAATGGAACTGGAGAAGTTTAAGGGATCGTCTACGTATTTGCCCGACAAAGAACTTAAGAAAGTATCGGTTTCATAAGCAATGATGAATTTTCAAAAGTGCCATATATCAGTACATGAAACCCGACTTCATAAACTATGTGATAAAATTGAAAAGATAAGGCATTTTTCAGTGTCATCTTTAATATTATCTGGTGTCCTATATGCAATCCAGGAAAAAGAAAAGCAGATTCATAAATATTGTGTGGTAACGTGTTGAATAGGAAAAACTACTACTCCTAAGATATAAGCATGTTGCTTTATTAGAAGAAGTACTGTCCAATATTTGTTTTGGCTACAACTTTAGGCTCATTAAATCTTCCTCTATCTTCTTAATTCTATTCTTCTTACTCTATCTCTATTTCTGTGTTTGTTACATACTCACATTTGTATACTCCCTCCGGTACATAATAAGTGACTAATTTACTTTGGGCGCGCCCATTAAGAAAATACTAAATTCTAGATAAAAATAGTTAGTGTGACTAAGCTACCATTAATTAAATATTGCATCATAATTTAATGTGAGGAATAAAAGATTTTTTAGGATACATACATAAGAGTAATTTTGAAAAAAACGAATTGAATATTTTCTTGATTATATAAATTGACACTTATTTTGAACCAAAATAAAAAAGCAAATTGGTCACTTATTGTGGACCGGATGGAGTAATAGAATTGGAAATCCTTTATTATAATCATTGCCGGAAATTTAGGGAATGAATGATTTTCAATCAATTTGATTACAATTGTAAATAGCAGTGAGAATCGATAAGAATTTTCCTCGTTTTTTGGATTCAACAATTGGAGAATTTTACTATAACACAGCCAAGAAAGTGACATTCCTGGATTTCCTTGTGGCCTATGCCCAAGTGTTGGTGTTGGTGGGCTCTTCAGTGGAGGTGGCTTTGGCACTATGATGAGAAAATATGGGGAGATATTCAAAAAATAGCCAGATTTATAATCGGTCGTTCAAAAATAGCCCAGTTTCAAAAGTAATCGAAATTTAGCCATTTTTCATGTAAAGATAAATCTGAGCAAAAACACTGTTCAAAACTCTGAAAATACAATAGTATATTATACTGGAGTTCCAGTATAAGTATGCTTGAACTCCAACATATTATACTGGAGTTCCAGGATAAGTACGCTAGAACTCCAACATAATATACTAGAGTTCCAGCAAGTATAATTGTCCAGTATAATATACTTGAGTTTGGAGCATCGATGCTCCAGTCTCCAGTATATTATACTGGAGTCAGCAAAGTATACCGGTCCAGCAAAATATGTTGGAGTTCATACACAGGTGCACCGAACTCCAATATATTATGCTGGATCGGTCTCTGTTGCAGCAAAATAGTGGCTATTTTTCATTGACTTCGTAAACGCTGACTATTTTTGAATGACCAGTCCGAAAACTGGCTATACCGTGCTATTTTTACGAAAATATGGACTGTCTGCTGATAATATAATAGATGCCAATTTGGTTGATGCCAATGGTAGAATCCTTAATAGAGAAACAATGGGAGATGATGTATTTTGGGCAATTAGAGGTGGTGGAGGAGCTCGTTTTGGAGTAATAACAGCTTGAAAAGTGAAGCTGGTTCACGTTCCACCCCTTGTCACAGTTTTCACAAGAGTTTAGACCAAGAAGGTGTCAACAAATGGCAATACATAGCCAGTAAACAAGCCGAGAGTCTCTTAATCCGAGTCATAATTCTCATTTAATTAGTTTCTTGGGATCAATTACTTAATGTCTAAATTTAAGTTGTGAATACCAACTTTTTAAATGGTGGGGTTATGATTATGTGCTTATTTTGTAGCAATTGTAACTAATTAACAAGTTGATTGACCAGATAAAATCAAGAGGATTCGAGCAAACAGAAGAGGAGGAGAAACGATTATGGGCAGATCTTCCAGCAGACCTTTTTTTACGTCATAGCATCTTGTCTCAGTCCAGAAGACTCTGTTAACTTTCAAGTTGTTTGCAAGTCATGAAAATTATCAAAAAACTCTTTTGCAACTCTTCCACCCTATTTAATGTTCAACAACACTCTTCATCATCCCTTATGCAATTCCACTATTGGTATGGACATCTATGACTTACCTATTTATGGCTCTATAAATTCTTCAAACTACAGTTGGTTGCCAATGGTTAACTATTAGGTGTTGTGTTGATTTTCTTACTATATTTGATTTTTCTATCTCTTGCATGAAAGAGCAACATATTTATAATAATTAAATTTTCCTTGTAGTAGAAGAAAATTATAAATCTCCAATATTTGGCTAGTTTCTTTTCTTGTAGGAAAATATTTGGATTTATATACATTGAGGATCCTTCCTTCTTATTAAGGAACATCCACATGCTCCACAATATATCATAGGGGGACTTGGGAGTCTTCTTTAGGGGAAAAACTTTACGGGACAAATGCTAGTGTGTCGCGTGTGTTTGTCTCTTTATGAGTTTGTTCTCTCAATATTTTATACTCTCTTTTATATAGTGGATTGTTATATCCGCCGATGACGTAGGTCAATTGACCGAACCACGTTAAATGTTTGTATCTCTTTTGGTATATTTCTCTTTTGTTGTTTGATTTATCATCGTTCAAGATTTACTTTACTAGCTTTCTCTACTAAACAATTCACGGGCTAAATTTTATTAAACTTCAAAATATATTAAGTGCTTATTTCATTAAATTCTGCATCCGCATAAGTCAGTTATAAGTTGCAGTAAATGAGACCTTAGAGGATGTGAATTGGTCGAAAGTGGACGCGCTTTAAATTTGGTCTTAGGGTTTATATTTGGAAATTTTAACTCCTATAGCAAAAGTTGATACCTTATTTATTTTAAATAAATACCATTTTAAAAAATTATATTTCATAGCTACTTTTTGATTGTTATAGCCAAATATCTATTTATGGTCACCTCCTACCCTTAAGCCATAAAATACATTACCCTCTCTTTCATAAAATACGTTGCCTTCTCTCTCATAAAATGCGCTGCCCTCTCTCTCATAAAATGTGATGCCCTCTCTCTCAACGCCAGTTTTCTCCATGAACACAAACTCATGGATTCTCTCTCATCAGATCCTCCGTCGATTGTTCTTCTGAGTAGTCAACAGAAATTTTTTTGCATCTACTTTCTTCAAGGATTTTGGAGAATCAATGATAAAGATGGGCAAAACTGGAGTCCTTACCGGAAAAGTAAAGGAAAGAACCTTTGAGGAGCACATATTATGTCACCATTTGTATGAATCAAGCAAAAAGATTTCCTTGAAATGGGGAAAATATGGATTGAAGTCTGCCTGATTTCCGCCACTCTACGACGTTTCTTTGCCTCCCACCAACAACCCGATTCGTGCCTTCAAGGAACATACACGTGAGGTGCGACATTAGGGTTGTTCTTGAACACGACGATGAAGTTTGGGGCTGGACAACTTGAATATTTTGTTACCTTTTTTTCAAATATCTTTCAATGTATTTCGCTGTATTTTTATGTATTTCATTATATTCATTGTCTTTTTTTTCATTATATTTCAGTTATCTCGATGTATTCCATGTATTTTATTGTATTCACTGTCTCGCTATATATCCATGAATGTATTCATATATATTTTTTAATTAATATAATTTATGTATTCAGATGTATATAGTATTCAAATGTATCTGCAATATGTATTCATATGTTTTTGCTCTATACATGACCTGCTATACTTCATGTATTCAATGTATTTTTATGTATTTAACTATATTCAATGTAATTATATAATTTCTCTGAAGATTGCTATATTTTGGGGTATTTTTCGGTTGAGAATCTTCTTTATAACTGGAAATACAAATTTTGTATGTTATAATTGAGTTTGTTGAGTTATATTAGGAGTCTATTATGTTAATTGATTCACTTTCCATTTAAAAACAGTTGAATAGATCATGAATTGCGTCATTTATGTTACTGTATTCACAAATACATATCGTGAATACAGTCAAATACAATAATCTGTCTAGTTGTAATCCTCTGTTTCACGTCGTGAATACAGTCGAATACAATAATCTGTCTAGCTGTAATCTCATGTTTCACGCCTAGAAATGCTACTGTATTCATGAATACAGTAGCTTAAATACATCGAATACACTCTAAAAAACCTGAAAACATAGTTATAGGAAGTAATATAGTAAATGGTAGCTACAACTAGCTAATAACCACTAAAACATAATGGTTTCTGAAAGTTTCTCTTTATATTTTGTGCAAGCTATTTCATCAGTTTTTGCAAAAGATAATTGTAAGAAAGCTTAGTAGGCGCTTGACCATAAGTTTTGAAAGTTCTTTTACAAAAAAAAGAAAAAATATGTGTTTGTTTATAGAATTAATTTAGTTTTTAGAGAACTTCAAATCTCAAATATAGCTTAAGACCTCTTTTTGGGCTAAATCATGATCATTTGAGATTTTTTAGCTGAAAAAAAAATTAAATTTTTAACATGTTAAAACTTGCCCTAAAATTCATGTCCAAACACATTTTCAATTCAAATCAAACTTCACTCAAATTAATTTTTTCAAAAAATATTTAAGAATTTATGTCCAAACAGGTCCTTCGAGTTTTTAATTTTCTCCGTATAGTTGGACAATTCGACCAGACATTTAATAAGGCAGTGATTCGACTCAATTTTGGAATCTTTTTTCTTTATTTTCTCCACAACGCGAGTTGGATTTTTTTTTTTTTGGCATCGTGAGTTGGAATTGTTCTGCCAAATCTGACTTTATTCCTTTTTCTTTTATTTTGTTTTCTTAAATGAAAAGAAGAACAAAATAAAGAGCGAGCTCCCCTCCCAAATCGCAAAAAAGCGACGATTCTTCCATACAAAATACAATAACTTCCACTTCGCTTCACACTTCAAACCACCGCGGCATCTTCAATTCTTCCCTTTTCCGGTAAGTTTTCCGTCAAAATCTCACTATCTCCGAATTCGAAGCCCTCAATATAATTTTGTTTTTCTCTTTCTATTATTGACTATAAGTTGTAATCTCTAGATTTAACATTTGTCAAACATTCCGTTTGTTTATTTATTATTTGCTGTTTTTGTCAATAAGTCGAAACCCTACATATGGCGATTTAGGGATTTTGCAATTTCCCATAGTGATTTGTAGCCCCGCACTTTGATTGTGTTTCTGTCTTCGGTAGGTTGAAAATGCGTTTAAGAAATTTTTCCACTTTTACATGTTGTATCCCATAATTTGTCTTATTTTTAAGATTGCAAATCACACTTTTTAAGGAGGCTTAATTGTAGATTTTCTTTCGGTGATAGTGCATATAGCGACGGTGTATATAACTTACTAAATAGGATGGGGGATGATAAATAAAATAGGATCAACAAGCCAAGTTTATATAACAAAATGACTTGAAGTTACCCAAAAAAAGAAAAAAAAAGAAAAGAGAACCTGAATTACAAGACATTTAGCCTAGAAAGTTGATGATGGTGGTGTCCGGGTCAACTTATGCATACCTTTACTTTTTCACCGGTACCTGCTACCTTCCATTAGCACAACACTGCCCATAAAGTTTAGGTAGAAGAGAAGAAATCACTTAATGTTTTTTTAGTGAGGGTAGTGTCTGGACCAGCTTGTATGTATCTCGACTTTGCCATAGGTTTCCACCAACACAGGTATCGAGTAACTCTGTCCACCAAAACTTAGGAAGATTTAAAGAAATCGTCTATTACTGAGTTTTAGTCTCATGGTTATTTGCTAATACGTTTTTTTGTCAGACTTGGTACTTGTTTATTTGCTTGTGACAACTTAAGTTTAATATTACCCGTTGTTACTCCTATGGTTGCGAGGGGTTTCTCTTCTGAAATATGTAAGAAGTTAATTGTGTAGCAAATCTTAGTGATGAGATTTTGAATGCTTGTTTAGTTTGTTATGTAGAAAATGAGGTATTTGCTAGTGTAACTATTGAATCAATTTTTATCCTTTCCAAAATTTGAGAACACGCTTAGGACAATTGTAATGGTGATATTATATTCATATAATGTATTTTATGGTTTTCACTTGATTCTTGATATATATTGAATATTGATACTTGTTATTTGATCCGGTTATTGTTGCTTGTTGATTTGAAGTTATTGTTTTAATAGAACCCTCTGCGGCGAAATCCTTGAGCCGCCACTGGTACGGTTTGAGAATAGTTCTTAGCTGATGGCTGACAAAACAAGAACAAAGCCAGTAAATGTTTACCTCTACATTCCAAACATTATAGGTGAGTTTTTCTTTGAAAATTTGTGTTAAGAAATTCGAAGAAGCTTCAGACAAAGAAATGCCACTTAAGTGATTGTTCAAATGTTTGCTGAGTATTTAGATATTTGTGCTGAATTAGTTGTTACATATTCTGTTGGATGCAGGGTACTTAAGAATTTTGATGAATTGCGTTGCATTTGCTGTGTGCTTTGCGGACAAAAAGCTATTTTCGCTTCTCTATTTTGTTAGGTGGGTTCGCTTTATTTCTTATTTGTTTTCTTTTTGAGTTTATGGAAGTGGGGTTGTTTTATTGAGTTTTTGGTTTCCAGCTTTGTCTGTGATGCTTTGGATGGTTGGTTTGCCCGAAAATTCAATCAAGGTGAGAATTTTTCCTTGTTTTATGTTTTGATGAAATACCATGTCTCTTTGGATAAGAATAATAAACCATTAAAACCAAAGGAAGAATATACTGAACAAATTGACTGAATATACTGAACTTTGAAAGAATACTAAGCTTAGAAGAATAATAATGAATAAATACAAGTATGGATTCAGAGGTACAAACAGAAATGAAACCTAGAATTTTGCCTGAGGAACTAGAAACCTATATGTAACTGACCTATTACCTTACTTTATCAAAAAAAAGGAAAAAAAAAAAGGAAACCTGTACCTGACCGGCACATTTTTATCTAAAAGGTTTTCTTTTATTTCTCTATCTACCATAAAGAATGAAAGAATGACTCTACCTACAAAGAATTCGGTAAAGAAAGAACGAAGATTGTGTGTCTATGAACGACGAAGAGCTTCGACAATAGACCAAGCAATCACCTTGGCTGATAATAAGAGGATGAACTTCCTGCAGCATTAAGGAGTGCCAATCGGAGACTGTGTAGAGATTGGTCTGAGCTATTTCTTTGGAAGCTCCTACTAAGATGAGAAATTCCCCGATAAAGCTTGTACAAGGTGAACTCATATTGGCCAAAGCTCTGAGTAAGTGAATCATCATTATTTCCCTACTTCGTGACCCTTTAGTCCTCATGTGAGTGCATCTTCAGCAACATTTGCCTCTGAAGCAGTTCCTTCTCTGTAATCCTGGTGCATTTGAAACTCCCTTTGCTTCATGGCTTCCGCCATTTCCCAAAACGTTCATGCCTTACAATCCTATCTTGTCCTTCACGAGCAATGGTATTTCTGTTCTCTCGAGCAAGCAACTCTATCTTATCCAGGGCTATCTAATGGAAGGTTGAAATCAATAGAATAAAAAACAACAGCATAGCATATGAGTGAGTTTGCAAGTCTTGATTCCAAGCTAAGCTCATTGTGCTTAAGAGCAACCATTGGCGGAATTTGTGGTTCTAAATAACCGCCAAAAGTCCCTCAGGATCCCCCTAGAAATATCAAATAGATGCTTGTGTGTAATAACCCGACAAATTTTAAAGAACTTTTAAGAGATTTCTTTGATTATTGTTTACTTAATTTAAAAGTTTACTTACTGAAAGGGTAAGAATATTTAGTACGTGGCAACCCTCAGGAGTTGGCCTGGTGGCAATTGACTTGAGCCTTGGGGTTTGCTCCCTTTCAAGGTCTCAAGTTCGAAACCCATTGGGTGCAAACAATTTCTGAGGGCCATCGGACTGGGTAAAACCTGAATTAACCGTGGTGCACTTGCGGGAAACTCCTTGCCGAGGGTCTGTGCACCCCCGGGATTAGTCGGGGCTCGAAGAGACTCGGACACCCGGTGCAAATCAAAAAAAAAAAGAATAATTAGTACGTGGCTACTGGGCTAAAACATTACATATAACATTAGAAAACAATATTTCTTAAGGGTCTAGAATGTGGGCCAAACCCATTCTTGTTGGCTGCCACGTCTTAGTGGCCTAGGGATTGCACACTAAGATTTTTATCTTGGTTATTTGAGAAAGAACAACAACATTGTGGAGAACCTTTGGGAACAAGGTGGCAGCGGTTATGTGTTAGAGAATAATGGCAACTATTTGATTTGAATAGACTATCATAGTGTGAGAATCCTTTTTGGGGAAAAGCTAAGCAAACATGTATTTATATCTATTCCTATTCGACTAGTATATATTACATTGAATTTGAGCCATGTGGTTATTATTTATATCTTGAAAATGATTATGGCAATGATTGGGTACAAAATCGTTATGAGAATGATTGATGAGCTTTTAAGAATCAATTTACTGCAACCCCCCTTTATATGTTGTTAGAATTGGCTATACCTTTTAAAGCTCATATAGGCAGATATAGAAATATGCCTTAGATTAAGTAATCAAATTAAGGTGTCAAGAATGGATCTGGTTGAGGCAATATATTGCTGGTTTAGGATGTACATGAACGTCTAACATTTTTTTTAATAGGTAAGTATTGTCGATGTCAGGTAAACAACACTAAGAAGGTGCTGTACATTCAAAAAGAAAAACATAAGCGTATCAACCCTGACTATCTATACAAAAGTTTCTGTAAATTGCAAGTGTTTCAGCACCTTCAACTGTAAGTGTTTCAGCACCTTCAGCTACTTCCAATTTATACCAAAAAGAAATCATTAGGATGCAGTAGTTCTCCGGGTTGAGCTCCTCTTATCTTCAAAACACCTCTTGTTTCTTTCCATATATACCACCAAATAGCAGCTGGTATGGTGTTCCAAGTTTTCTTTAACTGTTTAGGCAGCCCTTTCCTGCTCCAGCAAAGAAGTACTTCTACTGTTAATTTTGGCATAGCCCATTTCATTCCCATCATATTCAGAAACATCTGTCGTACTTATGATTTATGAAGTGGTAGGGAAATGCATAAAGTGGGGATTGATGTCTTCAAAATGTTCCTCACACAAATAATATCTATTTACAAGTTGTATGCCTCTTCTTTGTTGATTTTCCTTAGTCAGACAGGCTTTCTTAACAGCTAACCATACAAAGCACATAATTTTCCCTGGAGCTTTAGTATTCCAGAGAGCATATAAAACGTTCAACCATTTCATGGACCTCTCAATCACTGAGCTTTCTTCTGGAATGTAATCAACATTCCAACTGTTGCCTTCTCTGCCTTGTGCTACTTTGAGATCAAATTTTCTATTTAAATATGCGTTAATGATCTTTTATCTACTCGAGTCCTGCCCTTCTCGTTGCACAATTTACACAATGT